AATAATTCAAGATGGCGGGCAATTCAAGATGGCCGATGGCGAAATCCAAGATGGTGGCCAAAACGTCATAATTTCCATTTTTTGCCAAATTTTGTCTTCATTATCCCATTCGGAGCAGAACAGTAGGACGTTAAACCACACTTCATTTTATTATTGTTTGTGTCCATATTTGATTTCGTGACTTCAAAAAACCCATGTTAGACACAATGAAAGCTATGTATACCGTTATCCTAACATAATATATAGACATTTTCATTTTTTCCATCAATTTTGGTTGCCATTTTGAAAAATGGCAGTGCACCACCATAAAAATTAAATTTTCGAGAAAAATTCTTTCAGATTCTTTTTTTTCAGCCAATTTGGCATTAGGAAATACCTGGCGTTTACAAACTTATATTATTGTCCCATCCCTAATGACACATTAGCACATTTATCTTTATGAAAACCATTGAGCAATCAAACAGTTTTACTATGCTAAGTCTAAGCAGAAAATGTTCACGATACTCAGTCAAGGTTTTGAAGTACCGGGTAGTGAATTAAAAATTACATGTCAACAAAATATTCAAATCCTGTACGTAATAAAAATAGGTGAACCTCGCTATTTTTCATATTTAAAGTAGCTAAGTCTCTAACTCAATATCATCCAACATTGATGTTGTGATCTTACCGGGAAAAGATGGGCTTCTGATATCCAATATTTAAGACAAAATAAACACTTTACCATTGGTACACGAATCGTGTACATTAATGCGGTTCAGCGCCACTTGTAATAAGGGACTCGAAAAACGAGGCTAAGCATATTCCACAAGTCATGTCAAACCGTGACGTCATATTCTTATCTGGAGAGCATGCGCAATAAATACTATCGGTGTAGACTGGAATAACCAGACGCTAGAGATTGCCATTCAATTGAGACTTCTGGTGTATTTCGCCAAACGTAATAGAAATTACAGTAAAACAGAAACGATTGAATGTAAATCAGTTTATATACATTCATATTACATTATTGTATGCGTTGCGACCCATTTGTGTCAATTTCTAGGTCCCAAATATTAGCGATTTAGCCTCTTTAATTCCCGTACGGTATTCAAATTTATGTCAGTAACATTCCTACAAAATTAAGCATTTTCGTTATACACTGAATGAAAGCTTGTCGATTCAGCTTCGGCATCAAATTCACTAACCCTAATATTCCTTCAAAATTATGTGTCTGCAAACATAGGCGTACGGGGAAATTTTTGACTGGGGGGGTGGTGGTGGTTGGTGCCCAAAACATGTAGTTAGGTTCTTAGTATGTTACATAATAATAATAAATTCGCTGTTAAATTGGACACATTCAAGAACACAATATCTTTTTTTACACAACTTTTACAAAATACAATTGTGTGCCCAAATTTTCCCAGCATTTGGTGCCCAGAATGGGGGGGGGGGGGCCCCCCCCCCCCCAGCTCGTACGCCTATGTCTGCAAATGAATGCAGAACTTCCGAAAAAAGAATAGTTTGTGATGTTAGAACATCGTTTTCTTCTTTTTAAAATGTCAACAAAATATTCATATCCGTGCGTAATAAAAATAGGAACACCTCGCCATTTTTCATATTTAATTCCCGTATGGTATTATTCAAATTTATGTCAGTAATATTCCTACAAAATTATGTGTTTTCGTAATATGAAAGAATAAAAGCTTGCCGATCCATACAAGCTTCAAACTCACGCCAGTAATATGAAAGAAAGGCGTTCGAAATAATAATACATGTACTTGTGGTGATGTCAAAACACCATTTTCTTCTTCATAAAATCAGTATTTTAAAATTACACTGACAGTTAAATCACTCGTAAAAAGACATAGCTAACTTCAGTTTATGGCGTGCGTGACTATTAGCACATAGCTTCATAGTAAGCACTGGCAATTTTCGTGTGGCAATCGAGATCACGGGAAAGTGCCACTGTGGATGAGAATTTCTTTATGGAGTCTTAAAAGACATAAAAGATATCGCAAGGTAATGATCATCTACACTAAGTTTAAACATTCTACTGCAATCAAAAGCAGAGTTGTTATGTCCTGACCAATCAAATTGCTTATCGCTACTTAGCCTTAGTCAAGGTATTGATATTATAATGAATCTATACTCATCGCTCTCACCGAATTAGAATCAAAAGTTATCGTGTTCCAAAGTCTCAACCAATCAAATTGTTTATCTCTGCTTAGCCTCAGTGGAAAATGCGTATGACCGAACACCAAGTTTGAACATTCTAGCTCCATTAGAAGGAGAGTTATTGTGTTCCAAAGTCTCGACCAATCAAATTGAAGTATTTACATAGTCTAAGCAGAAAATGCTCATCATTGAATTTAATCAAGGTATTGCTATAATGAAACTATACACAAAGTTTCACCACTGAGCTCCAAAGTTGTTTCCAATCAAATTGCTTATCGCTCTGCTTACCCTGAGCAGAAAATGCTCATTATCAAGCTTAGTCAAGGTATTGATATAACAAAACTATACACCAAGTTTCATCAATCTCACTTAATTAGAACCTAAGTTATCGTGTCCCAAAGCCTCAACCAATCAAATTTCTTATCTCTGCTTAGCCTAAGCAGAAAATGCTCACCTTCAATCTCATCAAGGCATTCATCTAATAAATACCTACACCATTCTAGCTAAATTAGAAGGAGAGTTATTGTGTCCCAAAAATTGTAACAGACAGACTGACGGACCCATTTTAATAGTGCCCTGCTTACTTCGAACGGCGGGAAAACAAACTAATTATATATCACCATGTGTGAACCTTTGCATATAATATTTCAGAATGTTGAATGCCTGATGAACACAACAATTTAATCATTCTGATTCAATTAAATGTTATGTTTTATTTTATAAACTTATATGTGCTCTACAAGAAAGGGAAACTTTACCTTAACAGCTACATTTTAACTATCAAGGGATTATCACAATGTGTCTGAAACAATGGGTTTCTTCTCAACCAGAAACACAATCCTTGTTACATCCCAATACCAGGATTTGATCACCAGACATTTAGTCCAATGTCAACACTGCATGTCTAGTTTATATTTCAGTAAGTGATTACCATTAGTAAACAATTCTATTTTACTTACTGATTAATTAATGGGGATTCCTATAAACTGACATTCCTATAAATTGACAAACATTTATGTTTACAAATACAATTTTTATATTTTTACCAGCAGGATACCCGGCTTCGCACGGGGGTCATAACTCCGAAACCGGAAGTAGTAGACTAACGCCACCTGGACTATGTTACTCCCCGGTCCGAGATACCCCTATACCCCAAATTTCAGACTCGGGGCAGACCTAGTGTAGCTGCCAACCCCGAACAGACCGGCTTCGCTCGGGGGTCATAACTCCAAAACCGGAAGTGGTAGCTTAACGCCACCTGGCCTATGTTACTCCCCGATCCGAGCTATCCCTATACCCCAAATTTCAGACTCGGGGCAGACCTAGTGTAGCCGCCAAGCCCGAACAGACAGACAGACAGACAGACAAACGACAGTCACAAATATTAGTATAGATGAAGACACAATCATTGATTTTTGAAATATCAATGCAAACAATATGTTTCTACAAACATCAAACAAAAAATTGATGAATGGTTTCTAAGAAATACAAAAACTTTCACTCAAGACCCTAGTTTAGTACATGAACATATTTTCTCTTTTTACTTCTGACACACACATTTCAGCATTTGTCTCAGTAATTCTCATAACATGTTCTATTGGAATGTCCTTAAAAATGTAAAAGCCGAAGTCCTGATGCACCATTTGAAATTTCGTTAAAGTTACAATTTCATATTTTTAAGTTATATTTTTAAAATGTATTAAAGGAGCTAAATCGCTAATATTTGGGACCTAGAAATTGACCCAAATGGGTCGAAACGCATATAATAATGTAATCTGATTGTATATAAACTGATTTACATTCAATTGTTTCCGTTTTGACTCTACTTTCAAATCAGTCATGTGCAGCGAAATATGACATGTGTCTCAACCCTATAGCAATTTCTATTGAGCAGTCTCTCCAGTTAAATATGCCTTACCTCGTTCTTTCTGGTCACTTGTTGCAAATGACGCTAAAATGCACTATGGTACACGATTCGTGTACCAATGGTAAAATGTTTATTTTGTCTTAAATATTGGATATCAGAAGCCTGCCTTTTCCTGGTAAGATCACAACATCAATGTTGATTTGAATTGACAAATAATTCGTATTTTCAATGTGTAAGACTTTAGATGATATTGTGTTAGAGACTTAGCTCCTTTAAAATAAAGCTCAAAAATAAATGATATCTATAAACAGTCCTACCGTGTTAAAGAATAATCCTATACTTCACTATTGCCAGTTGAGAAATTGGCAAAAATATCATTTTCAACTTCAAATTCAAACGTTTGAAGATAGCTATCATGGTGGGGAATAGGAAAACAAGGGAGGTAATTGGGAGGTAATTATGTTATTATTTCCGGTGTGAAGATGTTTAAGTGTCAGAAAGATAACCTATGATCGTATAATAGTGAGTTGACAATCTATTGAACAAAAGACATAGAAATAATTATGTTTTGACTTTCTTAGAAAGTATGAAATTGTAACTTTAAAAATATCAAATTTCTCACGGCTTCATACAGGCTAAATATGTACTCAGATATATTATTTAACATTTAATTAAAAAAACAAAATCAATATACCAAGGCTAGATAATCTCCCGGCTTGGATTTAATCAGATTTATATTAGGCCCATCAGTTTTCTCTGATACTGATAAAAGATGGCAGCGTCTTGAACATCAAAGAATGATGAAATTTCAATTTAACATAACTTTGTAAATATTGAACAGAATTGAACCATTTTTAAGCTGATATTCCTATTGGAGATTTGTAGTTTGCATGGGATTCCTATAGCGCTAAATGACGCATAGGGTTTTGTATTATAAAAAATGTTGTTAACTCATGACTTCTTCAATAAAATTCATCTCTTAAAAGTCAGATTGTTTAATATTTTAATAATACTTTTAATGTGATGGTTAAACAAAACATTCGCTTTTAATTCCATACAAAATTAGTCAGGTATGCCTCGGACTGATGTCAACCATGAAGCCAGAAATCTAAAGTCTGTTTTTTCTTTTAGTCGACTGTTTCTATCTACCAAAGCTTGTCGCAAATTTTTATACCTTCTTATAGCTTCTTCTAGTAGATTCTCTCTTTCTAAATCACCCTAAAATAAATATTTAACATACTGATATCTATAGAAGGAAATAGAGATTATTTTTTGCTACTACTGGTACTTAGATTTTGTCATTCAATTATACTATTAAGGAGTTTATCCTCAATTTGGAATTTAGTGTATATATATATATACTATACTAGGACAGCTAATAATTGAGCCATCTTTAGATGATCCAGTTATTGGCAAGTAGAATAAAGATAGGTTGCCAGGCAATGAAACATACGCCCACAGCAGCTAAGTGGTCAAAGCAGTCAACAAGAGTTGTTGCATATTTTTTTATTGTCGGTAATGAAACATCTATAATACACTAAAATCTGATTAAGATCAACAACTTATTAAGTAATTATCAGAAAACCATTAGAATTTGTTTGGTTTTTATAAAGTTCTGCCCCATGCTAACGTTTAGTATACGAAACATTTAATATTATGGATTTAGCTGTTCAAGTTAGCAAAATTCATTGTAAATCAATATACTTGTTCATCTCAAGACCTTAAACACTGTGTATAAATTTAAAGTCAATCGGATATTAACTTTAGCCTCTAGAGCGTCCACAAGATGTTTCAAAGTGATCAAGGGCCATAACTCTGGCAGTAATTAATGGAAATCGCTGAAAATAAATAGGCTTCTTCGTCTCATGACCTTAAACGCTGTGTATAAATTTAAAGTCCACAATTGCCAGCCGGCCGGACAGACGGGGGCGACGACAATATACGACCACATTTCAATGTGGATGTATAAAAAGGATTAGGACATAGTAAGAAAAAAAATCCTGTAGTTGCTGACGAATCAAAGATACTGATGAGAGTACTAAAACTCAAAACTTCTAGCACTTAATTGATAGACAACCACATGGTATCTTTTTTGGCTCCAGTCCCACTTCCTTTTATTCTATCAATATCTACATTACACAGTATGTGCAATTTGTATTTGTATGTTAAAGGTACATCAAGACATGAAGACTATTAATTAAAGTTCTAAAAGCTATTAAACTACAACAAATGGAGTTCAATTCCTTATCACTGTTCTACCTTTTCATTTTAAATTTACAATTTTATCACGGCAGCAATTACAACTTACTGCTCAGGTATCTTGTGATATGAATCCATCCAAATAGCTGATGTTTGTTTTCTTCTCATCAAAACAAATATTAAAAGATTACAAAAAGTTTACTTATGATGAAAGGAAGAATTCTAATCATTATTTTAATGTGAAATTGTCCCCAAATAGGTAGATTGTCACTTACTACTAATGGTTCTTGTCTGATTCGTAATATATAGTCTCTAATATCTCCCTGACATAGTACTGGTGGTGATTTTTCTCGTATCATGTATGCTACACTGTCAATTTTGTGAAATATCTGTAAAAATAAAAGAAAATTGTTAGAAAATGAGAACAAGTAACATTTTTTTTTTTTTTGAATCTTGTAGAAATGAATTCTATGGCCCACTATATCCAGATCTCAAAGAAAATGAAATGGGGTTAAATGTCCTACTGTTCTGCTCCATACAGTGTGCTATGAGATAAATTTTTCTTGGACAGCGGCGCTACGGCATACTCTTCTATCAAATTCCAACTGCCAAGGGATCTTTTACGTGCATGCCAATGTGTACACAGGACCTTGGTTTTTCATCCCATCCAAATGACTATGTTGTCCCTTGCCAAGCCCTGTCCTGCAGCACTGACAAGGTGGAAGCATGGTCCCGTGTAAACATTGGAATGCACGTAAAAGATCCCTTGGCAGTTGGAATTCGATATAAGAGTAGGCGATAGTGCCGCTGCCCGGGCAAAATTTCCCTCATAGCACACTGTATGGCGTATGCCCGTCTTCATTAGCCTAGTTTAGGAGCAGAACAGTAGGACGTTAAACGCCATTTCATTTCATTTCATTTCATGCTGGAAAACCCTGATCGAACACGGGATCCCCTGGCTAGCGAGCCAATGACTTACTCACTGAGTCACTGTGGATCTCCCCAGATCCCAAAGAAAATTGATTTAGGTCAAAATAAAGTGTTGATCTAGATTTATCTAAATACATAACAAATGATTCGACAACAAATTGTTAGAAAATATATATTTGTAACTAAAAATATTATATCCTTCAAGATACTTCAAAGGAAACATATTTGATATTTATTACACTTGAAGAAAGATGGATAATTAAAAGCTGGCATTACCCAGAAATGTGTCAGTAATGGAGTAATGCACAAGTGATAGAATCTGTTATATTTAACTTATTTAATTCAATATTGTGAACTTATTATGCAATTTATCATACTTTGAGGGAAGAAATATTCAAATCAAAGTGTTCTACCATTAAAAGTTTGTATACATCAATAGTGTGAAATAAACCCAGTGATTGTTTTCCATATAAATTTGTGTTTTATATTAATTATACATCAATAAGTGATAATTACCTGGTAAAATAGTTTTCTGTCTCGTTTGGTATTGATATATTTTTTACTCTCTATCATATTAAAGTTGTTCTTTATCAAACCTAAATACTGATGTATCCCTCTTTCTGTAACAAACTTCATCTTATGTGATGCCAAGGCCTACAAAATGAGACAAAAATATAGGAGTAAAAATGATTCTACATCCCTGGAGAAATGAAATAAATATAAAAGATGCAGTTTTACCACACAATAATGTTCAGTAACAAAATATATTTGTAAACTTTGTATCACACATTTATTTTACACTGATGGGAGATGCAAATGCACAAGATATAAAACGAGATTTTAGTTTCCATAGTTCCTTGGCTAACTACTAAGAACAAACCAAAGAGGATGCTAAGCAACTTAACATATGCCCACAGCAGCCAAGTCGTTTGATCAGTGCACAAGGCAAAATGTATAAATTGTATAATATCATTGGCATGTTAACAAGGTTCCATGACATAATCAAGGGCAATAACTTTTGGAATTCAAAGGGCTTCAACGTCTCATGAACATAAACACTGTATATAAATTTCATACAGATTCACAAGGTTATAAAAAGTGACTCTAGTAGTAATTTACGACGATTGTTGAAATTCAATATGCTTCTTCGTTTTAGTGATCTTAATGTAAACAACATATTATAAAGATAGGTTGCCAGGCAACGAAACATACGCCCGCAGCAGCTATATCGTTCGGGCAGTCAACAAGAGTTGTCGCATATTTTTACTTTTTTCGGTAATGAAACATTTATAATACATTAAAATCTAATTAAGAGTAACAACTCATTAGAATTTGTTCTGTCCCATGCTAACGTTTAGTATACGAAACTTTAGCTGTTCAAGTCATAAAGATTCATTGAAAATCAATAAGCTTATACTTGCTCGTCTCAAGACCTTAAACTTTGTGTATCAATCTGAAGTCAATCGGATATTAACTTTAGCCTCTAGAGCATCCACAAGATTTTTCAAAGTGATCAAGGGCCATAACTCTGGCAAAAATTATCGGAAATCGCTGACAATCAATAGGATTCTTTGTCTCATGACCTTAAACACTGTGTATCAATTTAAAATCAATCGGATATTAACTTTCGCCTCTAGAGCATCCACAAGATTTTTCAAAGTGATCAAGGGCCATAACTCTGGCAAAAATTATCGTAAATTGCTGAAAACCAATAGGTTTCTTCGTCTCATGACCTTAAACACTGTGTATAAATTTAAAGTCAAACGGATATTAACTTTGACCTCTAGAGCATCCACAAAATTTTTCAAAGTGATCAAGGGCCATAACTCTGGCAAAAATTATCGGAAATTGCTGAAAATCAATAGGCTTCTTCGTCTCATGACCTTAAACACTGTGTATATATTTAAAGTCAATCGGATATTAACTTTGACCTCTAGTGTGTCCACAAGATTTTTTGAAGTGATCAAGGGCTATAACTCTGGCAGTAATTATCGAAAATCGTTGAAAATCAATAGGGGGCGACAACAATATACGACCACATTTCAATGTGGGCGTATAAAAAGACTGCATGATCATTGATGTAATCTGTAGTGTTTTTACACAACATTGTGGGCTGCGGACAAACGGACGGGAAAATGGGAAAAAGAACAATATATGACCACATTACTACTGTGGCATATAAAAATGAGTTAATATGTAAATTAATACCTTCCAAGCTGGACTAGTATACTCATGGCCATCAGCAAATATAAGCTGTAAGAATAAAAATAAAGTATGATAATGATGTGAATACACTGACATGCAATACGATTGAAACTACAGTCAGTGGACTCTGTCACATCCGACCTCTCAATACTCCGGCACTCTGTGAAATCCGACATCATTTTCATGTCCCGATTTATTTCAATATTATTTCAGCCAAAAAATCAAATGAGTAATTCGTACTCAGAATATTCCAATTTACATCAATCAGCCGTCACATGATTTCCATTGAATCAACACGGTATAATCCGGCCTTCAATTGGTGGGTGTGAAGCCACAAAAGATTAACAAGCAATCACCAATCAATTATCGGTGAGATTAAAGCTTGCTCGCGTAGGTTTTTTTTGATTACTTTGATAAATTTATAATCTCTTGTTGTGACAAATACTCAAGAATACCCACAAATTTTCCCACAAATTATTCACAGTCGTAAAAATATTCCTAGCACCTGTTGGAAACGTTCGTTGCACATGCGGATTGAACTTAAATACCTAAGTTTGTTCACCCTACAGATCTATACGAACCGTGTGACGACGACCTGGACATAGAACGACAGATTATCAATGAATGAAATGAAATGAAATGAAATGGAGTTTAACGTCCTACTGTTCTGCTCCTAACCTGGGCTAATGAAGACGGGCATACGCCATACAGTGTGCTATGAGGGAAATTTTGCCCGGACAGCGGCACTACGGCCTACTCTTATATCGAATTCCAACTGCCAAGGGATCTTTTACGTGCACGCCAATGTGTACACGGGACCTCGGTTTTTCGTCCCGTCCGAACGACTAGACAGCTTTCCTTGTCAGCCCCTCCGTCCTGCATCACTGACAAGGGAGAACCACGCCGGAAAATCTGGATGAACTTTCTCGGCCAATGCAGGGATCGAACACCCGACCTCCAGGCTAGCGAGCTAGCGTCTTACCCACTTAGCCACGTGATCCCCCGATTATCAATGAACACATGACACCAAAGACAAGTGTGTGATCAACTAAAGACGATGACGAAGATAAATTAACTGAAAACGATGAAGACGATCAATTAAAAACAGACTTGGCTTATTCAAAATGCCTACGCATGTTAAATGAAATAAAAATTAATGTAATAAAATTTTGAATGTACAGAAAGGTTTATCATTTTTAAAGGCAATAACATTCTGGGGATTCGAAGCTACATTATAATAATACTTCCGGTTTTGAGAAAACTGAGTATTCCGACACTCTGTGTAATCCAACATATTGTAACGATCCCGTACAATGTTGGATTTGACAGAGTCCACTGTATTTATAAATCTTTGTTTAAAAATTTATTTAATCAAATAAAGATAGATCTCTGATAATGTCAAAAGGTAACCACACAAAAAGATAAAATGGCTCTTGAAATTGCTTGAAGGATAGTTTAAACAGACGGTTACCTGTACATAAACCATGAAAATATTGTCAATACCTCTAATATCACAACACTTCCCTTTAAAACCATCTCACAAAATAATCTAGCTTCATAAGCACCATATTCAACTTTTTTGGAAGGTCCTCGATTCTCGAAACATTCTGGGATCTTTTTACATGAACCAATATACCTCTATAAAAAATACAACCAATATTTAAAATTCAAATTTGATGCCCAACAATATTTGGGGACATGTGTGCCAATACAGATTCAAGTTTAGTAATTGGTTTTGATGGTTTAACGTCCTACTGTTCCCTTCCGACATTTTATTTCAGAAATAATTCTGGTTTTCTATCAATTATGTATAGTGCTTAATTTTCATACACCTACCAAACATTTTTTGGTTGTATATTATGTCTCCTATCCCACAGACATATGCTTGTGTATGCTCTTTTGACTAAAGTTTTCAAGCTTTTTTTTTTTTAACTTGCAGCAATTGCTTGGCTATCAATAAGCAAGAAGTAGATTAATGCTTGTGAGACAATTATTTCTCATCACCAAAAGCTTAAGCACACCATATGCTGCTTTGTTTGTTCTAATAAGAAGATAGGTTGCCAGGCAACGAAACATGTACACAACAGCTTAGTCTTATTTTTTGGCAGGTAATAGGAGCAATTACAAGACACTAACCAGCAGCTGCCAGGCATGATACGCAAGAGATGGATAAAGAACAAGCTAAAAACAAAAAGGATTTTTTTGTACAATCAGGGGCCATAATCTAGAAAGTTAGATTTTTGGAATATAAAGATATGTTTTAAGTTTCATCAAAATTGGATAAAAATTGTGACTGCTAGAGGGTCCATAACCTTTGTATTTCATACTTATACACAATTTGAGTAGAAAGAGCAGCCATTTTGTCAGGCAGTTTCATTTCGATTTTCCCGAAATTCCAATTCAACCTTCAATATGGTGGAATGGTGATATATCTAAACGGTTATTAAAATCGGAAAAAAAATTGTGACCTCTAGAGAATCCACAAGCTAAAAATGCGATTTTTCGACCAATCAGGGGCCATAATCCAGGAGTTACATTCGGATATCTGTGATTATCAAAAGAAACGAAGATCTTTATGATAAAAACATATATTTAAAGTTTCATCCAAATTTAATAAAAACTATGGCCTCTAGAGGGTCCACAACCTTGATATACCATAGTTTTACACTATTTGTGTACAATTTGTGTCCGATTTTCACGAAATTCTAACTCAAACATCATAGTGTAGAACTGTGATATATTCACACGTTTTTTTTTTAAATCAGATAAAAATTGTGACCTCTAGAGGGACCACAAGCTCAAAACACGATTTTCCGTACAATCAAGGGCCATGATTCAGGAAGTTATGATCTGATATGCGCGAATATTGAAAGGAACCAAGATCTTTGGGTTATAAACATGCATTTCAAGTTTCCTAAAAATCGAATCAAAATTATGACCTCTAGGAGGTCCACGACCTTGATATACCAGATGTTCACACTATTTGCGTACAAGGGGCGGCCATTTTGTCCGACAGTTTTGGTCCGATTTTCACAATATTCAAACTCAACCATCATTAGGGTGTAACGGTGATATACTAAAACATTTTTTTTAAATTGGATCAAAATTGTTACCTATATAGGGACCACAAGTTAAAAGTACGATTTTTTGTACAATTAGGGGCCATAATTCAGGAAGTTACGACCCAATATGCGCAATTATCGAAAGGAAACAAGATGTTTGGATCCTAAACATGCATTTCAAGTTTCATCAAAATCAGAAAAAAATTGTGACCTCTAGAGTGTCCACAAGCTAAAACTGTGATTTTTCGTACAATCAGGGGCCATAATCCTTGAAGTTATGGTCCGATACATGCGAATATCGACAGGAACCGAGATCTTTGGGAGACAGACCTATATTTCAAGTTTCGTCAAAATTGGATAAAAATTGTGACCTGTAGAGTGTCTACAAACAAATTGTGGACAGACAGACGGACATCTGGACGGACAGAAATGAAATGAAATGGGGTTTAATGTCCTACTGTTCTGCTCCTATACTGGGCTAATAAAGACGGGCATACGCCATACAGTGTGCTATGAGGGAAATTTTGCCCGGGCAGCGGCACTATCGCCTACTTTTATATCGAATTCCAACTGCCAAGGGATCTTTTACGTGCATTCCAATCTATACACGGGACCTCGGTTTTTCGTCTCATCCGAAGGACTAGACAGCTGTCCTTGCCAGGCCCTCCGTTCTGCACCACTGACAAGGGGAAACCACGTCGGAAAATCCCGATGAACTTTCTCGGCCAATGCAGGGATCGAACACCCGACCTCCAGGCTAGCGAGCCAGCGTCTAACCCACCTAGCCACCGTGGGCGTATAAAAACTGATAACGAGCAACAACCCATGAAGTAATTATCAGAAATCAATAAAGTTTGACGTGGAGTCCAGTTATTAGTAATATAAACATAAACAAATCATGTACAAGTAATTGGGCGATAACTTCGTCTTGTGGTGACAAGGAGTAGGGTCGCCTGTCCAACCTCGTGGGTTTTCTTCCGGGTCCTCCGGTTTCCTCCCACTGCTAAAGACCCTATGCGCAAGCGAATTATTGAAATAAAATTAACCCATATGTTAGTCCGGAAATGACCTAGTTTGTGTTGAGTGGACGTTAAACCCCATTTCTCTCTTTCTCTCTCTCTCTCTCGTCTTGTGGACAAAAACTCTGGATGATATTGTTAGCCTCTAGAGAATTTACAAAATTTTTCTCAACAATCACAGGTTATAATTATTGGAAATCATTGAAAAACAATAGACATCTTTGTCTCATGAACATAAACACTGCATATGAATTTCAAGTAGGCCTACACAATGCAATAACTCTAACATTCTGAACATCTGAGACACGCTACCTGCGGAGAAGTATCTCAGACACAGTCAATAGCCATGATATCCATATGACGTGATCTACACATCACAGGTCATGACATTGAGGTCAATGGGTCATGAGGATGAGGTCAACATTGTAAACAATAGGTTTATCTTCAGCATTGTGTCCGTTGCACCCATAAAGACTATATAATTCGTACAGTCCCAACATGTTCTCTCATCTTCCAATGTTTTTTCACAAAAATAACATCTACAACTCATAGAATTGACGTTGTCTTCAATGACGAGGGTTGTTCATAGAGGCCGCCATATTGCACTATTTTGTGCGTCGGTCGGGTCTATTTATTTCAGATATACACAATCAATTCTGTTGATGTTTTTAGCGTTGGGATTGACTAATAGTTAATGTGTTTCGGTTCTAAAACAAATATTTTAAACTTGAACGCAAATTTAGAAAATAGCCAAATTCTGGCTGGGATTACTGAGCAAAATGGACATTCACTGTATATGTGCGAAAAAAAAGCTAGCCACCAATTAATTTTCGTACGTTAGTTACGTACGTAACTCTAAATGTAGTTATTTGAAATCATTGAAAACTTTAGCTTGACGGACAGACTGTGGTTACAACAATATACAACCACATTCCAACGTTAAGGTATATAAATGAATAAAGTAACATACATCAGTCATCTCTCTATATATAACAACATAATCTACATCACTATCAGATGTAGCTAAACCATACATATGACTACCAGCTCTTGCTATCAGTATCACTTGTTCAGGTTGTAATTTTATCACTGGTCCACCAATAGTCTCCATTAATTGTAATAATTTACTCTTCTCATCTTCAATATCTACAAATCAAACCATAGAATTTACTACTTACTTTTGTTGCATCAGGCATTATAAATCACACATACACTCATACTTAAAAGCTATATACTAAAAATTGTATAAATTTACTTCCTGTCTAACTTAGTAAATTAAATACAACAAGCCAACAGTGAGGCTGATGTCCCCCGCCGAAATCCCAAAATAAATAGATGACACATATTAATTAATCACACATCTATTTTTTTCAAAAGTATCGAGCAATCAAACTACACCCTAAGTTTTATCACTCTCTATCAGATAGAATCAAGATTATCTTGTCCCAAAGCATCGACCAATGAAATTGATTAGCTCTGCTTAGCTTTAGCTTGAAATGTTAATCATTGAAATCAGTCAGGACATTCACTTAATGAACATCTACATCAGGTTTAAACATTCTACCTCAATTAAAAGCAGAGTTTTTATGTTCCAAAGTCTTGACCAATCAAATTGCTTATCGCTCCTAAGCCCAGGCAGAATATTCGCATAATCGAACTTAGTCAAGGTAATGATATAATGAATCTATATTCAGAGTTTCATCACTCTCACTTCATTATAACCGAATTTATCGTGCCCCTAAAGCATCAACCAATCAGATTGCTTATCTCTGCCTACCGTAAGTAGACAATGTTCATCATCAAACTCCATCAAGGCATTGACCCAATAAACACCTACACCAAGTTTGAACATTCTAGCTCAATTAGTAGGAGAGTTATTGTGTTCCAAAATCTTGGCCAATCAAATTGCTTATCGCTCTGCTTACCCTGAGCAGAAAATGCTCCTTATCGAACTTAGTCAATTTATTGATGTAATGAAACTATACACCAAGTTTCATCACTCTCACATAATTAGAACTAAAGTTACCGTGTCCCAAAGCATCAACCAATCAAATTGCTTATCTCTGCTTACCCTAAGTGGAAAATGCTCATCTTCGAACTCCATCAAGGTATTGACCTAATAAACACCTACACCAAATTTAAACATTCTAGCTCAATTAGAAAGAGAGTTATTGTGTCCCAAAAACTGTGCCGGACAGACAGACAGACGAACGGACGGACAGACAGACGAACCCATTTTAATAGTCCCCAGCTTTCTTCGAAAGGCGGGGGACAAAAATCACAGTTACGATTACTTTTTAAAAACATGAGGGCAAAAAATGTATGAATCTGGTCTAAACTAGACACAGATATCACATACAGGAACATTATCTATAAAAACATAATTTGCAAGAACTTTTATGAAAATGAATTGATAATAGAAATTTATAGTTATAGAGTACAAGCAATATTGTCATTTGAAATCGGCGATACGGACAAAGTAGAGTCATAATTAAAAACATCAAGCAAAACAAGCATAGACTTATCTGAATACCCCTTTAACTACATGTATTTTTGAAAATTATGTGATATCAGATGAGAACTGTACTCAATTGAATAATTAGATAAAAACTATTTATCAACTATCATTCAATTAGGGGGCAGTAACACTGCAAATACTTTAGCTGTTCAAATATCGATAATTGTTGGCTTTTTTGTCTCATGAACGGAAACACACAACCTTAGCCTCTAAAGGTTCCACAAGATTTTTCAAAAGGGTCAAGGGCAATAACTCTGAAAATAATTTTTGAGAAATGACTGATGGGCTTCTTCATCTCATGAACATAAACACTCTTTATAAATTTCAAGTCAATTGGATGTTAACTTTAATATCTAGACTTGTGAATGATGAACCAACAGACGACAATATACGACCACATTTCAATTAGGGTATGTACAAATTAACCCATCTTTATGTCATGGTAAACTTGAATATCAACGATGTAACTGTACAAGCTAATCATATCAACTCGAAAATTACCAACCGGTAAAGACTTCCAAATTGCAAATGTTTGTTTTAACTCCTGGAGCAAGTAGGACTATGGGGAATGTAAGTTTTTAAAATATGGACGTAAAACATGAACAAATGTAGAATTGACAGATGCTACAGATACAAACAGTGTATAATTCTTACACGTAAATGGGATAAGTTCTTTTCCTTGGAGTCTGGTTTTCTTCTTCCAGTTACATAATATAGTTTCAACTTCTGGTAGATTAGTAAATGATGATTTTCCTTTTAATTCTTCCTGTATCTCATCTTTCCATGACATTAACAGATCAAAGAGACCTTGTTTTGTACCATCAGGATTCTAGTGAATAAAATTATTCCCCTTATTACTGGTATAAGAAATCTTCCAATAAGAAAGGAATAGACATCTTTTAAGACAATACATCGGTCACTTTATAAAACAAACATGGTCATGTGTGTCATGCTAGGAAGGATAATTTTTCTGGGAATCTTGCATTTCTGTATTCTCTTCATCAAATCACAACTGCACACTAATATCAGTCTAAGGGTTAATGTCATAGCTAATGGCTGGTACTAACAACTTATATACTCAGCCAAATTAAAAACTTGACACTGATGAATTTCAACAAAAAATTTTTTCTGGTAAGTCAAATAAATTTCAAAGTGTTTCTAACGATAGTAAGAAGTAAGAAGCCTTTAATTTCATAAAATTGTAAAGTCACGTGGATCACGTGATTTTTGAGCATATAAAGATGAAAAACATGAAAAACACGTGCAAACACAAACTTGTGAGGTCAATCGATGCAAGTTTGCTTAAACTGAACACGCACACGTAACTTGAACTGGAAAAACAAATTAAAATTGTTATTTTCATCTTTGTTAGAAAATGCCGCGCCTTTCAAATGTAGAACGTCTACGTGCTATAGGTAGGCTCTATGCTGGTCAGTCTGTGGTCACTGTTGCAAGAGCCTTTAATTGTTCACGCCAGACAATAATTAATCTTAGAATGAGAGTGCTTCAAACTGGAACTATTGCCGACCGCCCAAGGGCGGGAGCGCCACGTGTGACGTCACTCCAGGAAGATCAAGCAATACGATTACGTCATCTTAGAAACAGATTTGTCACTGCAACCTTCACAAGTAGAGAGATGTTTGGTGGAAGGGTAACTGCACAAACTGTTCGAAATCGCTTGCAGGCTGCTGGTCTTCGACCTCTGAGGCCCTATAATGGACCAATATTGACACCTCTTCATCGCCGTATCCGACTTGTGTGGGCCACAAGACAAGTAAGATTTACTCAAAGACAGTGGAATTCGGTTGTCTTTAGTGAGGAATCTCGATTCACTTTGAGATTTGCCGATGGCAGGGCCCGAGTGTACCAAAGACGAGGTGAACGTTACGCTCAAGTATGCGTCAGAGAAGTTGACCGATTTGGTGGCGGCAGCGTCATGGTTTGGGGTTCTTTTTGTGCACATGGACGTTCTCCTCTTGTTGTTGTCCAAGGGAACTTAAATGCTGTCCAGTACAGGGATCAGATTTTGCAACCTGTTCTTCTTCCGTTTATGCAGAGACATGGGCCTGGACTAACGTTTCAACAAGACAATGCTCGACCCCATACAGCAATTGCTACCCAGAATTTTTTAAGAAATGCCAAGTCCTGGATTGGCCGTCGCTTAGCCCCGACCTTAATCCTATTGAACACATCTAGGACGAACTGGGTCGACGTGTTCGTCAGCAAGTGAATCCACCACTGACGTTGCAGGACCTTCAACATGCTCTTGCTGAGCAGTGGCGACGTCTTCCTCAGGTAGTGTTTACTAATGTTCTGAGATCCATGAGAAGACGTTGTCTGGCAGTACGAGACGCTAGGGGAGGCCACAACTGTTACTAAACACTATATTCCGATTGTTCTCCAAGTCAGTGAATTTCATTTTGGGGGGTACTGTGACATCACGAACGTTATCAATGTCAAGGACTTTCGTGCTTTCTGTTGATGTCAAGGTCGTCTGTGCACAACATAACACTAAAATAGTTGCCTTAAACCAAATATTAAAAATCTAGTCCCAAAAATCCTGAGTGTCAAGATTTTAATTTGGCTGAGTATATTTTCTATTTCTCCGTTATGAATTTGAGCTTCTTGTTTACATACTAAAAACAATTTATTTACCTGATATAAACCAATTAATTTAGTCAAAGCATTATTTGCTTTTTCTGGTAATTGTGTAGGGTCTATGGATTTTACTATACATCTTCCATGTATCAAATTATATAAATTATGTAATAATCTGAAAATAGAAATACAAAATATAACATTTCCAAACAAACGATCAGGTTCAAATATAGATCTAGCCACGAAGACTTGCTAATAATTTTAACGTCTCATACATGTACATTAATTATGATATTATTGCCAAGTTGATTTAATTAAGATTATTTACATATAAAGGGGACATAAAATGGGTAAAACCATTATAAAAAAGATCTTGTTTGTCTATCCGGTCTGTGCATTTTAATAGCTACTATTCGATGATAGTAATTTTCTAACTCAAGCGTATGTCTTTTTGAAAATGAATTTTATATTTACAATACAAGAACACTTCAATTTGCATCCTCTGTGTAATTATTTATCTAGACCCCATTGAGCTTTAACACTAACTTGTGGCCAGTACACTATTGTTATTTTTAGCTTCAGTCATCAGAAACTTATTCCTCTCAATAAAATATTCATCATTTAAATCAAAACTGTCTCTGGATTTTTTATGGAAAATGTACACAGAGTGTCAACTTTCTTTTGCCCGGTAGTTTAGTTGGCATTATTTATATTTCTGTCATATTGAAATATATTTCAGTAAGAAAATCAATGATTCCTTGAAAAATCAAAGCATAAGAATACATAATTCATCAAGATACATAGAAAATTGAACAGGAGCAGAGATGATTCTAACAGTACCGGTCGGGTGGAAAAAGCGAGCGAGAAGTCACATGGTGTAAACAAAGCTCTAACGGCGTTTGCTAACTTCATGGAATGAACACTCAGGGGTTTCTAATATTATTTATTGCTATTTAATCATCATTAAACAATAAAATATGGTAAATAACATGCAAATAAAACGTATTTTCAATATTTATGCTAAATATCATTCAGAAAAATATGATTAGATTTTCAATATCTTTCTGAAGACAGTATTTTTGACGGTTTTTATTTCTGTGTTGCCCAGTTCTACCACAAATTAAATTAGTAACTACTGATTTCTAAATTAACACCATGGATTAAAGTAGTAACTACTGATTTCTCAATAAACACCATGGATTATAGTAGCAACTACTGATTTCTAAATAAACACCATGGATTAAAGTAATAACTAATGATTTCTTAATAAACACCTTGGATTAGAGTAATAACTAATGATATCTTAATAAACACCATGGATTAAAATAATAACTACTGATTTCAAGAGTTTACACACTATTCAATACAATAACATGTTCACATTTATGAGTATACTAAATTATCATTAATAAATACCGTATTTTACGGGATATAAGTCGATTTGGAGTATAAGTCGAATCGCCATATTTTACTGGTATATAAAAAATTATAAGGCAAATGTTTTTCAACTCCACAGTAGCAATCTATTATCGAGTTTTGGGACTGTTATACTAGTCTAATACTGTGCTGGTGTAGTCAAGAAAAATTGGCCCATAATATTAATTAATGTAAAATAATCAGTTTATAAATGTAGGACTAACTTGATTAATATTGGTTTATTTGAACCAGTTTTTATTTCATTATATACGATAAATATAAGACAATGCAGGCTCTGCCTCTAATCAAACGTGGTTATAAAGTATGTTACTGAAAATGGAATAAAACTACGCAGAATAGTATGATTGGTTAATTTAACTGAAAACTAAAAGTAGAAATCTCGCAAGATTTTACAAGAAAAGGAATCATGCCAATTGTGACGAATGTTGCAGAAAAGATTCTATTGAGATGGCATATTATTGGGTTGATGATAATATTTTGAAGGGGTATGTATTTAAGTAAAGAAATAAACAAACTAACAAATGTCTACAAATATTTTGATTGGAATAGTGTAATAAGTAGGTTTTTTTTTAAACGATAGTGCATGCGGCATCGTGGAGCGATGGCTATTGAAAAAAAAATATTTCAAGATGGTCATATTTTTACCTTCATCTGTATTAAAGTCGAAGCAGAGTATTCGGCAGAAAAAAGTATGGACTTATACCCCAAAAAATATGGTATATGTCAATTAAACATGCATTATGCAAGAGCTAAATCTGATTATTGCAAGTCTTAATTTAGGCTTCAGATGTTATAGAAATTATAAATTCGATCTTTATTTAAACAACAAGACCAAAATCAACTCTGTAGACCCACGGATGGCTCGGCTACAGCTCGGATTTAAATAGGATTTCACCAATTGATTAAATCAAATAAGGGGTAACCTGATGAAAATACGTCAGTTAGATCGAGGCTAAACGATAGAGTGTACTTAGCGAGGCCGCTGTAAAGCGTTTCCGTATGCCATTGAAAACTTTCCTTGATAATCGAGATATGTAGGTGGAGACACATTTCGCTACCATTTCTAGGCAAATATTACAACGATGATAACTATGTTCAGAATAAAGTAATTTGACTGAATTTTTCAATATATTATTCTTTCATCATCTACTTTTGAACTGTTATAGCAAGAATGGCCAGCTCTCTATAAAAATCTCCCATAATGTATCTTTAAAAGAATAATGTGTTACCTAAATGATTCACAAATTTCAAAGAATGTGGCACCTTCCCTTAATTTCATTATTCCACATTTTGTTTTCTTGGCAACTCCTCCAACAGCCTGTCCGAAACCAGCTTCTATAAATGATTGCAATCCTGAAAATTAAATGTAATAGATGTTCACTGTCTGCTTAATAATATTGTGAAAGCAAATTTTAAACATCAACCAGCAAGCAAGGTGTTTATTGGATCAGGTCGGACTGAATAAAAAACAGATTGCCAGACAACAAAACATACATTCATGGCAGCTAAATCGTGACCAGTCCATAGGTAAATATTAAAAAAAATCTTTATACTGTAAAATATTATTCTTTGCAATAATTAAAATAGAAAAATATATCTATTCTTTGCATGTCAAAATGTAATCTGGGACTTTTTGATCAGTGAGTGAGACAGTGCCCTATGCCACAATGCCCCCCTGCCCCCTTACAATACTCTAGGGAGCCAGCGATAGAACATTCATCATCCAACTAACATGCCTACCAAAGATCTGATATTATTATATGGATTTACTGACAAGTAAAGTTATTTACCCATTAACTGGTAAGATTGTAGAGATTGTTTTAATTCAATCCATTCTTCACTTTCATATATTTGACCATCTGGATCATAGTTAAGAATTTCAATATATTTTGTTCTGCCACTAACTAAAAATCTACACATATGAGATAATTCTACAATACAACACCAACCCTGAAAACATTCAACAATATGATCTTTAATAACATAGAAAAAAATTCAAGCAATAATATAACAGTAAATAACTGCATTGTGCATATTACAGGAATTCAAACAAAGTCCTAAACTTTAAATTGGGTTAAAAATAAAACTGATTTTATGTGTTTTTATATTTTACGCATTCATTTTTGATTTGTAAGATGACAATTCTGTCTTTGTAATAGGGTTTACTGGTAAATATAACCATTCATGTGTTCCACTGTCAACACAATAAGCTAAAAATGAAATTAAAATTAAGTAAACAAGCTCACTTCTGTTTAACGGTTAAAAACAAAAAACTTTTATACTGAATATAGCTTAGCCCATCATCACTAATGGAGATAATCAACCCAATTCAATACTGTTTTTTTTACCTAAATCAGAGAGGTTTAGTATATTGTAGATACCAGGGATCTTAATCGGCTGTTTTTTGTCGACTTTGGCCAATTGATCTTTAATCTAGATGATTGGTAATACAATGAACCGGCCACTAAGGTATCACAAATCAATCTACTTTCGGCCGATTTACAAAGAATTAATTATCAGGCCGATTGGTAAAACAATGAACCGGCCAATATGGTATTATCAATCAATCTACTTTCGGACGATTCCAAAGAGTTAATTATTACTCGTCGATTAAGAAACCCATCAAAGAGTCAATCATTGTAATGAATACCTTCGGCTCATTTCATAAATAAAACAACTTAATTGAGGTAATCATGCCAAGTAAAAGAATGTATATAATACAATTTCTGTTCATTCATTTCTATCAAACACAATGTTGAAATACTTGAACACCTCGCAGAATGACAGCAGGAAACGTAAACGAGATTTAGCTGAAGATAGTGATGGCGGCGTTGACCTTGAACTTCAAGCATGCACGTCGTCAATGGAAGTTCCAAAAGCCGGAGATCCTCCCATGTCAAATATAGGTCAACCGAAGTCGAAGGCCAGAAGATATTTCAGATCCGAATGGTTAACTACTTTCAAATGGCTTTCGTTCGACAAAGATTCACAGAAACTGTTTTGTCTCGTAAGCTATTAATTATTACTTATTTTATTAGTCAGGTAATTATGTTAACGTAAAGTAAGTCAGGTAATAACCTACTGACCCATATATTAAGTAATAGCCTATTATTTTACCAATTCCAGGTCTGCCAGAAGCACAATCATAAAAATAAATTTGTAAGTGGCTCTGTTAATTTCAAATTATCGGCAATAAAAGACCATATTAAATCTGACGATCATACATGCGCAGCAAAGAAAGACAATGACAGAACAAAATTGTATACGGGTAACACTAAAAATAAACTAATCTGAATCACGACATATTTCCAAGTTCTGACTATACACGGAAATTAATTTGTGCTACTTTGTTATTTATATACGGTACTTTGTTATTTTTATATATATATTAACATGTGCTTACGAATAAAATAATTTAAAAACCATTTGTATGTACTTGTAGTTTTTCTTTTTACTAATTTATGACTTCCGTTTAATTGGATGAAAGCAAAAGTAGGAATATGCAATGCAAGTTGCTGAAATAATAATATGACTATAAAAGTCGATATTATAGCGATGTATGAATGCAAGTATGCAATTACAAAGGTCTTGTTTATTCGGAGTTTCAGCTATTATTATCCCAAATACATTATGCAATTGATGAATTATGCAATTACTGTTGTGAATAGAGTATGCATAAACATAAACCAACATCTTTGTTGTTGAAAAGACAACTATTCGTTAGGCCTACCCGTGGCCGGTTCATTTCAAAATGGATTAAGAACCCTGGTAGATACTCATTTGTTTATCACTTAATTTAATAGCAAGTCAGATCACCAAGTCCCCACTGTAGAAATCATTTCAGCAACCAGTAACCATAAAACAAATGATGAAATGGCAGCTTATCAAATAAATAAATATAAACTTATAAAATTATTTTGTATATTAGTATATGCTTACCTTATCAATAATTTCTCCTAGTTTTTGATTATGTATATTAGCTGGAGTTATAGCTTGATGATCATAACATAGGTATACAATTATTAACACATTATGCCTGGCCTTTTCTCCACGTTCTTTCTGACTAGCCTCATACCAGGGACAAGTAAACAATAAACTAGCTAGGACTTTCTTACATTTACCTACAGTATAAAAACAACAATAATGTAAATAGGAAGGGTTTCTATCAATAAATATAAATCTAAAAGTTTAAAGAATAGTTTTATAGCCTCTTTAAGTAATCCTCATATTTTGTACTTTCTGAAATTTATCTGTTTAACTGTTCAATAATCCAACAGTGATGTTGAGGGGTTGTAGTTTATTACATACACATACCAGTATATTCTACTTTAAACCGCTATTTTTAAGAGAATCAAGCAATTTTATATTGACCCTTTCAGATGGTCATGATAAGCCAGATTGTGAATTAAACCCTTCTTGAAGGCAGGTATGGAGCTGAGGCTTTATATTATAGATAGATAGATAGATAGATAGATAGATAGATCTATCACCATCTTAAACACACCTGAACAACAAACATGTCAACTCCTAAAAACAGAAGTCATGGTATATTTACCTCTCATTAATTCTGTAATTAGTCTGTTAAAGTTTTCTTTGGCTTTCTGAGTTAAAGAACTTGGAATATGCATTAAAGTTATTTGTTTTAATTCTTGAATTGGACCTTCATTTATTGTTGTTGCACAGTAGTCATGGTGGCTACCTTCTGCCTGTGACTTTATTTCTCGTAAGGTATCTAGAGATTCATGAGTTTTTGTCTGCACTGAAATAAATAGATGACACTATAATTACTAACAAATTCATCTTTTCATAAAGCATCTAGCAATCAAATTATTTCTCACTCTGCTTAACTTGAGCAGAAAATGCTCATTATCAAACTTAGCCAAGGACCAAGATATTGATGTAAAAAAAAACCCAAACTATGTGCACCAAGTTTCACCACTCACACTCAATTAGAAGTAGAGTTATGCTCACCCAATGAACATCTATACCAAGTTGAACATTCTACCTCAATTAGAAGCATAGTTATTTTGTCCTCAAAGAGTTGCAGATAGATTTTAATAGTTCCACACCTTCTTTGAAAGACAGAGGACAAAAATATACAGATTATTATGAGAATCTAGCCATAAGAAGAAACAGAACGATAAAAAAAAGCTAAAAAAAAAAAGTAGTACCGTAAATACTAAGTAGTAATAGAGAATGCACGAAACTGACAATATGTAACTTACTTGTGTCCTCTGATTGGTTTGTGTTTCTCAAATGCAGCAAAAGTCTCTCTTGACATTGTAGAACTTGTGTTGCTAAAGCAACAGCGGTCTGGTCAATATTAACATCTTCAATACTAGAATATACATAACAATACAGCTATATGTTCAAGTAGTTAATGGCAAGCAATAATGAAAGAGTTTAAGGTATGAGAGAGAGAGAGAGAGAGAGAGAGAGAGAGAGAGAGAGAGCAATGGGGTTTAACCATAGGTTCCATGTTGGCCGTATATGCCGGTCAAGACCTAGAGCTATGGAAAATGACCGTAACTAGACCTGACCCATCGGTCATTTTGCATGCTGAAAAAAAGAGCCTTTCTTTTTCAAACCTCCCATTTTCAAACATGGCTACGATTGACCTCCACAATGTTACTATACTATTGTACAGCCAGTACAGAATAATGCACATGTATAGAAGCCACATAATCTCGTAATTGGTGTTATAGAGTTATATACTGAGTGTTGTGTTGATAATTAATGATGACTGCCTGGTAGTGAACAATAAAAGTTAATTGATATTTGGGAATCTTATCAAAGGTGTGAAGCGGTCCATTCTTAGTTAATCACGTATTGTCCGCGTGTCATAAGAATTTTCTACAACAAAGCCGTTTACCGCTATAATAATTACGGTCAAGCACGATGTAAACGAGATTATTATGATCTTCGAAAAAAGGGCAATTGGTATGAAGTACTGTCCAACCAACTGTCATATTAAATAAAAACAGCTTAGAAATTACGTAAATCTTGAACAACGTACATGTTGGGTGAAAATTGCATTATAATTTTATTATAGCAGCCTTGTGGGAATTGTAGAAATAAAATATAGAGATTACTTAACTTGCTTACCAAAAAATTAAGAAAATTACATATTTCACTCAACACTGTCATAATATGTATATTGTCACTCATAGTCATAGTATAATGAATAACTCATGTTATATATTATTACTCATAGTATAATGAGTTAATCGGGTGGTAATTAATCTGTTTAACTTGTGACCCCAGGTCCACTTATCTTGTACATCTTATAGGCTAGCAGTTTCAGCCCATATTTTTTCCGATATCCCTACCTATGGTAGAACAAGGGTTATTTGGTATAGTTGGAAAGGTAATTTTATCGACATTATGAAATCGGTTCTTGGGCGATTTTCAAAACGGACTATAATAGTTATTTCTTCTGGTTTCCATAGCAACTGTAAAAAATCATAGATATCGACTCTATGCGTAAAATCCAACTATTTAACAATTAAGAAGCTTCAGATAAGCTATACTTTGTGTTTTTCTCCAGCACACTGTGTGATTTAAATAAAAAAAATCGCAAATAGCACACACAATATCATTTTGGGGACAGTAATTGGCCCCTTGGCGCTACTGATCATGTTCTTGTTGGTGGCGCATTTCGAAAAAAGTCTAAGGCTCTGGCAATTCATGTACGATGGACATAAAATTAGGCATGATGGTTCCTTGGAGAATTGCGCCTCAATTGACGGATTTCGCATTCAGACATGACGTCACAATTCAAAGATGACGTCATACTCAGTTTCTGGTACATAGTACGCTACTATTTGTTATATTATGGTTGCACAAGCACAGCGGGGCCGTAGGCCATGTGTTGTATATATTTCTTCTGTGACTGAAACACAGCGTTAAATTCATTCTGTAATATGCTCTACTTTTAAAAATAACGGTGCGCGATTTGAATTTTTCTGAAAATATCAATTTATTATAATTTGTTATTTAACATTTAATTTTGAAAACAAAATCAAAATAATTAACAACGCTATAGCTTTTCTCCTGGCTTGTATTCAGTCGGAGTATAAACATAACCATCAATTAGATTTCGCAAACAGCTTAAGATGGCGGCGGACGTTACCTGACAACAATCAGCCTATCGTAAATTACAACTTCGAAGAAATATAAACCTGTATTACGCGCAGATTATGTTGACAAAAGAAGTAAAATGTAATATTTGCATGGGATTTCGCTTCATCGTATGTTTGTCTATACCAGGAATAGCATTTAACCATTTTTGGACTGACAACCCTATTCGAAATTCGTTATATCTGTATGTTGCCATTCTTCGAAAAATCGTTGAATTATTAACTGGTGATCCTTAAAAATCATTTTACACATTCTAAGTATAATTTTAACACAGAGATCTTTGATATGGTTGATCGTAGTAACGATTTGAAGAATCAGTAAGTGACGCAAAACATGAGTTATCCTTACTGATCTGAAGTAGAGAGTGATTACACACAGTCGATTTTCAACTGAAGACGAAGTATTGTTATATGAGACTGTGAGTTGATATCTGTTCGAAAAGAACTATTCTTAAAAGGAATTGATTGTCATGAGATAAGAGAAAGCGATAAAAATAAAAATGTTTTTATTAATTCTATACTTATCATGTTAATGTTATTGTTTCCTGGTGTAGTTTAGTTCCTGTTTAATTTATGCTCCTGTTTAATTTATGTAGCTGTTTTATATTTATGTTCCTGATGTAAATAAATTTTATTTTTACAGAACTGATATTCTGTTATCACTACTAATAGTTTTACAGTATCTGTTATTGAATATGACAAAGTGCTCAATAACTTGTATCATATTACCACCACATGTAAAATATTTATTTAGATACATCGAACCAATTTGAACTCGATATCTGCGAACCCTTTGATCTAGATATAAACTGTGCTGTCCACTACATATATATATATATACGTACATATTTGTACGTATTTAATTACGGACTAAATAATTTCCAGATGTAGGGATAATGCTTTTGATTAAATAGAATAAAATAAAACCAAGTACGAACAATCCAAACCATAAGACAGAATTCGAAGTCCTAAAAAACGTTATAGGCAAAATAGTGTATTCAAGCAAAATAGTGTAATCAGCAAATGGACTGCTCCTCGTATACAAACTACACGACAAACAGTGGTAACAGGTGTCCGGAAGAGTAAGCTTACCCTGCCTGGCGCCACACCCGCCATAGCTGCATCCAAACTATTAGACGAAATCTCGGCAAAATAACGTGATTGGCCAACGGACTATCAATGACAACCTACACCGGTTGTGTTCCAAAAACAAACGGTATAGGCAAAATAGTGTAATCTGGCAAAATAGTGTAATCAGCAAATGGACTGCTCACCGTGTACAAAATACACGACAAACAGTGGTAACAGGTGTCCGGAAGAGTAAGCTTACCCTGCCTGGCGCCACACCCGCCATAGCTGCATCCAAACTATTAGGCGAAATGTCGGTAAAATAGCGTGATTGGCCAATGAACTATCGGTATGCAAAATGCACGCGATGAACTGTGTTAACGATGTAGTAGATATTATCAGGGAGAGGGTAATAGTATACGTGTCAATTAAATATATCTAGAATAATAGCCGAGAGAGACACGTTATATTTACCAATCAAATCAATATGACGGCCATAAAACTTTTTAAAGGTTTTAATAAGTTCAGTGCGCAAGTATCCTTGTAGTTGAAGCTTACATGACAAATGCCTCGATCTACTTAAAAAATCAGAATAAAAGGAACAAGCTCTCGCGTAACGAATTAGCTGAGACACAAACACTCCATAAGCTGGTGATATTGGAATGTTACTACTAATAAATGGAAAGTTAACAATCGGAAAGTCAAAGTCATCACGTTTATCGTACAATTTAACACTCAGTTTCTGGCAATTGTCAAAATCGAGACGCAGATCCAAGTAGGAAGTGTATTTGTCACTGTCAGTGGTGTTTTTAATTTCGAGCTCATCAGGATATATGAATTCTACATAATCACTAAATTTAGGATTATTAAGTGATAAAACGTCATCGATATATCGATAAGTGAAATTAAAAAGTTTGACTGATCGTTTATTAGTTTTTACGAGCGTCTGTATGTAATCGGCTTCGTACGAATAGAGAAACAGATCAGCAAGCAAAGGTGCACAGTTGGTGCCCATGGGAATGCCAACCACTTGCTGATATATTTCCCCTCCAAATTCAACAAAGATGTTGTCAATTAAAAAATCCAACATCTGAATTATCTTGATGGCCGTGAATTTGTTTTTGGAATCACTGTGATTCTTAACGAAATATGTGGAATTGTAATTTACAAGAATGTAATACGAAGGTATATATAAGACCCTGAGACCAGCAGGGAAAAGCAGAGGAGAACGAAGATCGGCTGTGGTTGAAGGATGGAATGGTTGTCTTAATGGCGCCACACCCGCCATAGCTTAGCTGCATCCAAACTATTAGGCGAAATCTCGGTAAAATAGCGTGATGAACAGTGTTAACGATGTAGTAGACAGACATTATCTGGGAGATAGTATACGCGTCAATTAAATATATCTAGAATAATAGCCGAGAGAGACATGTTATATTTACCAATCAAGTCAATATGACGGCCATAGAACTTTTTAAAGGTTTTAATAAGTCTAGTTTGCAAGTATCCCTGTAGTTGAAGCTTAGATGACAAATGCCTCGATCTACTTAAAAAATCTAAAATAGTAGCCGAGAGAGACATGTTATATTTACCAATCAAGTCAATATGACGGCCATAGAATTTTTAAAGGTTTTAATAAGTTTAGTTCGCAAGTATCCCTGTAGTTGAAGCTTAGATGACAAATGCCTCGATCTACTTAAAAAATCAGAATAAAATGACCAAGCTCTCGCGTAACGAATTAGTTGAGACACAAACACTCCATAAGCTGGTGATATTGGAATGTTACTACTAATAAATGGAAAGTTAACAATCGGAAAGTCAAAGTCATCACGTTTATCGTACAATTTAACACTAAGTTTATGGCAATTGTCAAAATCGAGACGCAGATCCAAGTAGGAAGCGGAATTGTCACTGTCAGTAGTGTTTTTAATTTCGAGCTCATCAGGATATATGAATTCTACATAATCACTAAATTTTGGATAATTCAGTGATAGAACATCATCGATATATTGATAAGTGAAATTAAAATGTCTGACTAATCGTTTATTTGATTTTACGAGTGCCTGTATGTAATCGGCTCCGTAGGAATAGAGAAACAAATCGGCAAGCAAAGGTGTACAGTTGGTGCCCATAGGGATACCTACCACTTGCTGATAAATTTCCCCTCCAAATTCAACAAAGATATTATCAATTAAAAAATCCAACATCTGAATTATCTTGTTGGCGTTGAATTTATTTTTGGAATCACTATGGTTCTTAACAAAATATGTGGAATTGTAATTAACAACTAAATATTGATATCTAACATGTCCCGATTTAGATGAAAAGACACTGTGAATAATGTCTTTTAACCGAGCTTTTAATTTACTATGGGAAATTTTAGTGTACAAAGTAGAAAAGTCAAACGTTTGTATAGATGAGATTGAAGCAAGTGATCTAGATTGTAAACCATCAAGTAATTCTTTGGAATTTTTTAATATCCACATTTGATTAAAACCACTACGAGAGTATATTACAATGACGTCACTATTACATCACAATTACGTCATATATACAAATTTAAAAGTTTTGACCAAAAATATGACCTTGTCACCCATTACCCTTTCAGATGATAGTAAATGATTTTCAAGTTTGTTCTACCCCTACCCCCATCAAATCTATTATCGTTAAAGAAACCTCGACCATTGGTAAAAGTGCTAACAAAAAATATATTGGGCCATGTTGAAAATTTGCCCAAGAGCCAGTTTTGAGTTCTGGTGATGTGACTCTATCAAAAAATATCCAAAGTGTTTTGTTTCTACCTCGGGTAGGGGTATCTCGCCATCTAAGCCCCTTTTTGGGCCTTGGCTGCGAGCCTATTACTCTTCTGGCAGACATGCTTCAACCAACATCTGATTGTAAGACTTGCATGATCCGTTAATAAACATTAAACTTATATGCGTTATTAATGAGTTAACCAAGTATGAGGAAGCATAATAGACACAAACTAGGTCATTTTGGGACTAACATGAACATCGATGTCACAAATTTATTGCACTAATTTGCATACACCTAGGGGTCTTTACCAGTCAGAGGAAATCAGAGGACGCAGTGAAAACCCATGAGCTTAGGCAGGCGACCCTACTCCTTGTCACATACAAATGTGGGATCGAGACCATTCCACTTGACTCAATGACAGACCTTTGAATGATCTTGAACCCAACTGTTTGAAGTACCCTATGGTTTTATATTTCAATTTAATTACTATTGATACTCACTATTCAAATCTGAATTCTTCCATATTTCTTGTTCTACGATTTCCTATTACTTTTCTTTATCTTTTGTCTGAAAAATTATGCAAACATCTATCTATTTAACTATATAACTAAAACTGTATGGCTTTTGTATAATTATTCATATGAAAGATATCAGAGTGAAGAAGTAAAAGTGGTTGATTTTTTTTGACTCCAGACATATTTTTTTTATGTATTGAAAGGAGCTAAGTCGCTAATATTTGGGACCTAGAAATTGACACAAATGGCTCGCAACGCATACAATACCGGTAATGTAATACGAATGTATATAAATTGATTTACATTCAATCGTTTCTGTTTTTACTGTAATTTCTAATCAGTTAGATTCGGCGAAATACGCCAGTATTCTCAATCGAATTTCAATCTCTAGCATCTGGTTATTCCAGTCTACGCTGATAGTGTTTATTGGGCATGCTCTCCAGATAAGAATATAGCGTCACTGTTTGACATGACTTGTGGAATATGCCTAGACTCGTTTTTTCGAAACGCATTATGGTACACGATTTGTGTACCAATTGTATAATGTTTATTATGTCTTAAATATTGGATATCAAGAAGGCCATCTTTTCCCGGTAAGATCACAACATCAAATGTTGATTTAAACCGACAAATAAATCGTGTTTTCAATGTCGAAGATTTTGGATAATATTGAGTTAGAGACTTAGCTACTTTAACTATAGTAAACATGGAAGTCTATACTCTTTATACTTTAATCTGTGCCACAGTTGTTATTATGATACTATGATGTCATTTCTCCTAGTAGTACTACAATTTACAAATGAAATAGGCCTAGTCTAGCTACGAGAACGTAGCTAAAAACGTTGAGATATACTGATGTGTTTGTTTTTAGCTACGATTGGATGCCTTTAGACTTTAGTTCCAATTTAATTAGTAGCAAACTCAATTTCTTTATTAATGCATGTAACATCTTTAAAATAAGATAAGTTTATGCTATTATGATTAATTAAACTTACAGAGGCCAATGTAGTGGCACAACTGTCGCCTAACTCCAAATATTCGTGTTTAAATTAATGAAGCGTTGTTTTTGTCTGACATTTACCGCCATCGAAATCAATTCATAGTTACAGAGCTTTAGATTGCCCTATTGATTGGCTGTTATAAAAGCCTTATATTTAGCCCCGCCTTCATGATGACAGCTATCGTTTAAAAAGATGGCGGTCTTAGTAACGGGTTAACGCTTCGATTTTAAAAACGACGATTTGTACCTGTTTCAGGTAGGATTATATGCTTAATTGTAGTTCGGTCTGGCAGAAATATTATAAATAACAATAATCAATCGTTGTTTTTATTAAAAATATTGTCAATTTTGTTTACAAATGCCAGGTGAGAATCGCTCCCGCATGTGCTTCGTTGAAGGTAATGGCCTCATGTCTTATCTCGAAACACGGAGGGTTGAGAGATTAAGGTTTGTTATCTAGGCCTAGTCTAGTACAATTTGATAAATACTAAAAATAGACATATACTTACCTACATTTAATTCATGTAGATCTAAGTTTACATATGTTACTTAGTGAGAATAGGCCTACTATTTCCAAACATGTTCGATTTCAAGTTCATTTCATCACTTTTAGAAATCGAAAGTATTATTATCTGCCAAAAATAAAAATACCCTCAAGTCAATGGCAATGCAATCGCGTCAGTTGAAGGGAGATCATCAAGATACACAGAACCCAGTCTAGGGGATCAGACCACAATCATAATCTCAGATAATTGAGAAAGGGTTTCAGAGGTGTTCTGACGCTATAATTTAATGTTCTTTTCAAAGTATCCTCTAGTGCAGCATACAAATACATGGAAAAATAAAATTTATGTAAGAAATAAAATTTATGTAAGAAATAAAATTTATGGCAGAAAAAAAACCCGAAAAACTAAATATTGCATAGGGGGTTGTAAAAATAGTCAAATAAAAGTTGGGAACCATGTGTGCTGCGATATAGGACCTCAATATTTTTATACAAAACAGCCACCGTAACCCCCCCGCATGGATGAGATAAGCATATGTATGGCTGCATAATATTATGGATAATGTTGAGGTGATCTTCACTGTATTAATAAGATTCTGTAGTTATCATGATCTTAGTTAGGTTAATAATAATAATATTAATCATACATCTCCATGTATAATATAAATCCTAACTAAATAGATTTGGTGATCTTAGCTAAGAATTTTCTACGTAATGATTAAACAATATTTTATTCAAATAAGATTCATGTTAAATACATACATTGTCAACAATATTAATTCGTCTCCTCTTTCCCATTTAAATGCCCACTGCCTTATTTATTGGTGTCTTGTACTGTTTATTTATATGGAGGCAATTAACAGGCCCGGGGTTCCCAGCAGGATCCAAGTTTAAATCATTGTGACTGGAAAAGATGATTCCTCTAAAGGTGCTAACCACGAACTTAAAGTTTTCCATATTCGAAAAAAAAAAAAAAAAAAAAAAAAGAATTAGAATTCAATATCAGTCCATGTCAATCAATATTGATGTTATCATCTTGCCGTGAAAATATGAGATCCCAATATCCAATTTTTAAGACACAAGAGCATTTTAAAATCAGTTCACGAGTCGTGTAGCCCACTCGATGGTAATGATCAAAGAAATCATACCCTACAAGACCGTGCGGTTATAATTAGTCACAAACGATAAAATAATAATTTATTTAAAAAAAGCGCACTTCTTTTTATAATTTTTACAACTTCACAATATAGGCCTATCCTATATGTTTATTCGATCCCTGCATTGGCCGAGAAAGTTTCATCCAGATTTTCCGGCGTTGTTCCCCCCTTGTCAGTGATGCAGGACGGAGGGCCTGACAAGGACAGCTGTCTAGTCCTTCGGATGAGACGAAAAACCGAGGTCCCGTGTATACATTGGAAAGCACGTAAAAAGATCCCTTGGCAGTTGGAATTCGATAAAGTAGGCGATAGTGCCACTGCCCGGGCAAAATTTCCCTCATAGCACACTGTATGGCGTATGCCCGTCTTCATTAGCCCAGTATATATATAGGAGCAGAACAGTAGGACGTTAAACCCCATTTCATTTCATTTCCTATATGTTTAATTACTCATATTAGGGGTTCCAGGTCACGTGACTTCAGCGTGAAATCTGACAGCCAGCGGCTGAAATATAGCCCGCTCCAATCTACAATTCTGAATTACTATTTTATTTAAATGTATTACTAGTAATTGTGTAGTAATAGTTTAATATCAGTCTCAATATCTGCAAAGATTATCGAAATGTAGGCCCTAACTACTACTACCTCGTGCCTTTAACGTCTGCTTCCACAGAAGTGGTACCGCAGACAATCGAAATGTAAGCGAATTTACCGTTTATACGGGAGACGTTCGCGGGAAAATATCGCTCTGACGTCACGCGACCGGACATTTTCCATCAACGAGATTACTACGGCTCACTTTATTTTATTGGTGAATCCGCGTCTTAGTCAATTTGTATTTCTACTTTTTATCGAAATAAACAAACTATAGAAACTTCCTCTACTGATATAGTAATACTGTAAAATTTAATATTGGTAGATAATACTATAGTATAGAAACCTATTTGACCTTCAGAAAATCTTAGGGGAAATCCTATCGTCACGGGGAGTCAATGCACACCATTGACGTCAATGATGCCGACGGCCATGGTGTGACACTCGGCAAACCTCGGCAGATTCCGGTACCCTGCATCTAGATGCAGGGTACTGGAATCTGTTTAGGTTTGCCGAGTGCATGGTGTGATAGCTGACTCCCACAACCGCGCATGCGCTAAACGGTAATCACACACCATAGAAACCATCTCAATTTTCGAATGTGTGATAAGCACCCAAACTCTTTGTGATTTTGTATTTTGTAGAAAACCACCGAAGCAGGCATGATTAAAATTTTGTCAAGAAAAGCTTAACCAAGAGTTATTTCCCTTCAATCAATTCCTACAATTTTGGTATGTTCTGGAGCGCATGTCAGAAACGTGTTTGTACACACAATCTTTTTTTGTGTGTATTCAAATGCTTTTCAGTACAATTTCTCAGGAACTGTAAAATACACCTTTACAGAAATCTATAGTCTAAACACATACTAGGGCTTTTCCCTGTATCCCAACGAACAATACCAGAGGCGGATCCACTGTGCCTTTTTTTACTGTTGAAAGTGCCTTTTCTCAGACCCAAATATGTCCGTTCCCAACCGGTTGCAGGGATCCCAAATGACTCAAACCATCGACTCAAACACACCAGTCTGGTCTAGTTAATGCTTCCACTTTCAAACGAATTCTTGTTGTTTAGCTGACGGTGCTCTAATGGTTGTAGGCAATTTTTAATTGTTGATACCATAGAGGTGTACTTTTTTTGAAGTACTAGTACGCCAACATCAAAAGATGACGTCACATCTGTATTTTTCTTGAAGACCACATAAACCTTATTAGGCCTACATACTGGCTACCGGATACTTGTTTTAAAAAATTCCGCTTTGCCAAAGTATAAAATGCTATAATGATTAAAATTAAATAACTATTACTAACATGATACCATCCGACCGTCAATAATATAGTTTTGTTTTTTTAACTCTTGAGTTTTGTCGGAGAGGTACATAGGCCTAATTAGGCCCGCTTTGTATTTTAATTAATACAACTTTTGTTTCTAGTTGTATTTTAATTAATATAACTTTTGTTTCTAGTTTCGCATTATTTAACTCCAAGTTAATGTGAAAAGAACAAAAATTTTATGTCTTTACTGTCATGTTTTAATGACAACTAGCTACATTTTAATATAGACAGGGGACCGGTAGACTCTGCTGCATGTTTTGCGATGACAACTACCGTACCTTATCATGATCGATTGAAAAGGTCAATTAATATATTCTGGAAATTACTCAGTGAAACAATCATTCATACCTCTTTTCGGGAATATTTTATTTTTGATTTTTCTACAAATTACAGATCTTTATCAACTAAATATTGTAACCGTTCTTGTGGAATAAATAACTTTGGCGATCAACTCTTCCTAACGAAAGATGATACTCTCTACCATGCCCTAATTGTCTTGTTTGCAATTTATTACATCGTCTAAGAACTGTAGAGCTTTTTTTTTAATTGATTAAGGCAGCCAGGCACCTCTTTTATAGTTTCACTTATTTCAGATATAACGCCAGAAATTCTCTCACATCCATGCCGATGTGCTGTCAAAGATTCATCCGGTCTATGAGCCAACCTCAAGATTCGATGACATAACTAATTAAACAAAAGGTCGTTCGACATGACAACGAATTTATTTTATTTTATTTCTCCAAAAAAATAAATAAAATCTGACAATTCTTAAGAATAACCCAATGGAGTAGTAATTTTAGCCGAGACGATAAATACTGACGTCTTATGACGTCAACTTCGGCTGTACCCGGAACCACGCCCTCTGTCCGTTCGATTGGAGAAATAGTGGTGGTGGAAATTACAATGGAGAAATTCTGATAGTTGAAAATGCAAAGATGAAAAAACATAACCAGAATTTTTGGTTTGTTATGATACTAATATAGTGATCTTGTGTTATGTGATATTTACAAGTGAAAAATCTCGAAAATGACCATTTTTACCATTTTGACTATGATAATTTGTCAATTTTAACTTTTATATTTTCTCTTAATATGGCAACGTTTCGGCTCCATATTAGTCAGGTGGTGGTGGGAATACGTCAACAATGCAAAACGTTTGAAACAGAAATCGAAAGTGGTCGATGATCTTAACGATAGCTAAGTTTCACCATACAATCTTGCCAGATTCACAAGCCTACATAGCATTTTTTTCAAAGCATGCGCGGATTTCGATTTTCAAAGCATGGAGTTGTTTTATCCAGAAGCACGTTCGTGCCTGGTACGTTAATGGCAAGATAAAGTGACACCATCTTGTAGTATAGTAGTCTAAACGCCAACATAGAATATGGCCCTTGGATACAAACGTCCAAAATAAACTCCATTACTCACGATACACTATTTCACTGTCAATACCCCCTTAATTCGTACATCCGCGTGTTATCACACGTAAACGAAAATTTCAGTTTCATCACTTTCTTGCCCAATCACCTACAGACAAAACGATCAAACTTGGGGACAGCTATTATCTCTCTATTTATACTCTGATCTATGTAGTACAGTAATCGAGTCTTAGATTTGCGAGTTGCTTGTGAGATTTCCACGTTCTTGCTACCATGGGGTTGGGATCCGCCATTTTCTTTTTCAATCTTGAAAATGACCCTTCATATATTTAGACGAGTGATGCGAATAATCGTTAAAATGACAACGCTTAGCGGAACATTGTATCAATATGCAATGGTTTCATTTACATCACCATACATACAATTTTGTCGTATTCCCTTTAGTAATAACACATTTCGCCGTTGTATAAATGTAAACAATGTTTCGTAGGTAGCTTTCGTGTCCGAATATCTGGTATGTCCTTGACCTTGTGCTAATATCAATGAGTAAAGTGTTAAAGGACAATATTGGTGTCAGTCATTATCACATATGTGATAGAACTAATTAAACACGTTCCAAATATAGAGTGATGCGAATAAACGTTAAAATGACAACGCTTAGCGGAACATTGTATCAATATGTAAAGGTTTCATTTACATCACCATACATACAATTTTGTCGTATTCCCTTTAGTAATAACACATTTCGCCGTTGTATAAATGTAAACAATGTTTCGTAGGTAGCTTTCGTGTCCGAATATCTGGTATGTCCTTGACCTTGTGCTAATATCAATGAGTAAAGTGTTAAAGGACAATATTGGTGTCAGTCATTATCACATATGTGATAGAACTAATTAAACACGTTCCAAATATAATTTTAACACAGAGATCATTGCTACGATAGCTGAGTAATACAGGTTTCCTGAATCGGAAGTGTGAGACTGTGAGAGGATATCTGACAATTCATAAAAAGATTTGACTGACACTAGATAAGAGAATACGAAAGAAAAACAGAAAAAGTCCGTGCATAACCACGTTTTTATAAGGTATAGAATGATTATAAACAAGGGAATGTACAGACTATTTCTATTTTTCTCGTATTCTCTTATCTAATGACATTCAATTACTTTATTGAATTGTCAGGTATCCTCTTACAGTCCCATATAACAATTTTTGGTCTTGGAAGGAATTATTAGTAAGCAGAAATTCGGCCGTGTATCTGTTATCACTCGTCACATCAGTCAGTTATATAGAGGTTCGTCATTTCCGATTCAGGAAACCTGTATTACTCAGCTATCGTAGCAATGATCTCTGTGTTAAAATTATATTTGGAATGTGTTTAACCAGCTCTATCACATATGTGATAATGACTGGCACCAATATTGTCCTTTGAATTAAAA